TGAGTAGGTGTGTGGTAAGGGACATTGCACTAATCAATGCATATACTTTAAAATTTTAAACTTCTCTTTGAAACCTTTATGACTCGAGTAATTAAGCTTACAAGGGTATCTTAAAATCTGATATCCTAAAATCACCTAACTTGGGAGTCATCAGCTTAAAACTCGTTACATGGGTCATTTAGAAAGTAATCAAAAATGAAGTTACCCTTAAAAAAACATAAAAAATAAATAATTGTTCTCTTTGAAGCGTTTTTTACTCGAGTTATTAAGCATGTAAAGGTATCTCAAAATCTGGTGCCCTAAAATCGCCTGACTTGGGAGTTATTGGCCTAAAGCCTACTATATGGGTTATCTTGAAAGCTTAAATTAAATGCTTTGTTAAGTCTCAACACTTGTTCGAAGGAATTTGACTTTGGATTAAGGATAATTAGTCTAATTGAGTCTTGACGGTCGAAGCAATCAAATAATTGGAGAATCCTTATTCATTGATGTGTTGACTTGCAACTAGTGACATCTACCTAAATTGGAGAGGGTGAGGATAGTAATGAAAAATTCAACTCTAGATTACACGCTGGGAAAAGAGTGACAAAGAATAAGTTTGGGGTGTGTGAATCTCACAAGAGATGAAGGGAAATATTTGACCATAGAGGATAGGGATTGGAACAACTCGTGAATTCATTAATGTCTACTTAGTCCTTCACACATGCACACGTCGGTTTTGCATTGAAAGAGTGGATATTAGTTTGGTATTGTGAGTTTGAAGCGGTTTGTAGATTTAATACGGTGATCTCAATTCCCGAGGTAAAAAGCTAGGCTACCCAACCAATTATTTTTGTATGCTTGTGTATTTGTTGTTATTTATGTTATAGTTTTGTTTGAAGACAAACAAATGTTTAAGTTTGGGGGTATTTGTATACACTTATTCAGGCCCTGTTTAACTCACAAGCAGCCGCCTGATTTAACTACCCAATAGCAACTCTATTTATCCTCAAAAGCAGCCTGGTTAAGTGTGTGTATATTTCTCCAAGCTGCCACCTTGTTTACTCCAATAGTAGCCGGCGTCTTTCCCCTTTTTTTATGTGTTCAATATATATATAGAAGACAACCCTATTCTTTTTCTCCTACTTCCAACCGCCTAATTTGACTCAAAAACCAATTTAAACTCTGCCCGAATTTCGAGCCCAATTGCCGACTTTTATCTATAGAAAATCAATCCCCACGTGCCTTTAATTTGGAGTCCAATTGATTACAATTTATCTTCCAAGGACTCACTCCACTAATAAATGCAAGTTAGTCCTTTTCTTCATTGTTTCCTCAATTTTGATTCTCCAACTTTTATTCAAGTGAGATTTAGTCCACACACTTTTATTTTATTGCCAATTGATCCTTTGTCTTTTCCAACTGCTTCAAAATGGGTTAAACACTGAAACAAACAAAAATTAACTCAAATTAAATAGAATTCAATAGTTCGATGACATAAAGAGTTTAATAATGTGATCTAAATAAGTGCACAAATTGTACTCATCATCTGGCCTTGCCCACCGTTTGATCTTTAGCCTTCTTAGGTCACCCTCAATGTAGTCTTTGGCGACGTATCCTGATTTGTCACATCTGTAATAAATAGCTTTTCCTAACCAGCTTTTCCCTTATGAAGTTTTTGATATTTAGGACAGAGTAGTCGTTGATTTTTGTCATTGATGTTAGCATCTATTCTTATCCTTCCCTTCTTATTGGACCTTTTTCCATTCTTCTTGATATTGTCATACCATTTGCGCTTGTCTAAGGAGCCAATCTGTTGTTTACTACTTTCACCAATCTAGTCATCATCAAAGGCATGTACTTGAGCTTTCTCCAAAACTCACTGATAAGTACCTAATTAGAATGTTGCTACTACTATCCTAATAACAGTTCTCAGTCCACACTCAAAATGTCAAGCTCGTGCTTCCTCTGTTCCCACCAGATGTGGGACAAATCTGGATAACTCCTCAACCAGTGATCGTCATGTTTCCTTACTTCAACTCAAGAAACTCTGCTTCATTCTTGTTTTTTAAAGTAGTTGGAAAGTACTTCTGAAGCGCTATTTCTTTGAACTATGCCCATGTAAGGTTACGTTTTTGCTCCTCAATGCGGGATCTAGTAGTCATATCCCACCAATGACCTGCTTCATTCTCCATCATAAATACCGCACAAAGGATCTTTTGTGCGTCAATGCATTTCATAAACCTAGAGGTATGCTCAAGATGGTAAACCCATTCTCCAGCAGCCAGCAAATTGGGGCCACCTTCAAACATGAGTAGGTATATCCTACGAAATTATTCTATAATTGAAGATGATCAAGACCTACCTCGTGGCTGTTGAGGTGGTTGTTGCTGCTACATCTTTGGCATATCAACTAGTAATTCTCATGCTAAGTTAGCTGCCATCTAAGCCTTAAATATGAGGATCGTATATTAGAGGTCATTCAAGTCAACTCAACTAACTTGATATCGCTAACAATAATAGAATACTTGAGTATAAATAGTGTTGTTTCTATTCAATAAATTTTTTATTGTTTTCAATAAGATTTGACTAAATGGGCTTTACATAATTTTTGTGAGTGGGTTTGCAATATTGATTTTTGTCTTGTTGATTTGAATAACGTGCAACTGAAAAGGCTTTCAGGTTAGAAGGATGATCACAAATGGACTGCTTAAATCTCAAGCCTACCTTACACAATTTAGGTATTTTTAACAAAGTTTTTCAGTCTTCCAAATACGCAAATCAAGAAAACTCAAACAATAAATTACCCGAATTTTTTTTACACAGCCACTACTTAATTTTCAACACAAACAAGCTTAAAGAAACTCAATGTACATTTAGATTTGAATTCGAGTTTACCAACAATAAGGCAGGATATGAGGCTATCATCATTACTCTAGAGCTCATCGACAACCTTAAGCTTAAGCATATCAAGGTTTATAGCGACTCAAAAGTTCATGATCTTCAAAGGCGATTTAAGAAATGTGAAATTTTGAAAATTGGCCGAGCTGACAACTATAAGGCTGACGCCTTGTCTAGACCCGTCTTCATAAGAGTAGATGGACTTGATACGATATTTCACATCAAAATTGTGATAGGCATTAGTCCATCTTGTTTATTTGAAAATGATTTTAACCACAATTAATTTTTTTAACCAACTCAGTTTGGGAGATTTGATTGATTGCAATATTCCTATTCAAGTTCCAATTATCAATTTGGATTTCAGATCAACATTCAATCCTTCGATTCTCAAGTTTGCATCCACTCCTTGCAGACTTCTTCATTATAACATAAAAAGAAACCTATTTTCATATACCATATCTTTCTTGGAACCTCTTTCTTCTTTTTGGGGCTCAAATACATCTATATTTTGGTAACACCATATTGTTCCATGGAGTTAAGGTCCAAAATATTAAAGAAAAAACGTTATATAATCAATGGAAACTATTATTGGCTATTCTCTAGATAAAAGTCAGAATATAATTCTTATGGGTGGTTTAACAAAACATTAAGCGAAAAGCTTTTCACATCATCGAGTTGGAGCAATCTGCGGGTTCATAACATCGGTATACATATTGAGGTGTTGATCAATTCCATAGTTCCATCATACTCATTTATTCAAAGATGTTTAAATCTGTCCAACAACAAATAAGATAAAATCTCGGGAGTGAATGGAATGTTCAGGATGAAACCCATTGAGCCCTGAATGTTCTAGCATAGGCCAATAGTTATCCCATCTTGATTGATTTTGGTGAGTTCATCTGATGTTATTGTGATGGACCATGAGGTCAAGTAGATGGGAGGAGGTCATGGTTCACTCGATTACCTTGCATCATCATTATCAGAAGCAAGAGAAGATCAAGCTCAAGCACTAGTAGTAAAATTGACTTTAGGTGTAGACACTAGAGTTTGGTTTTGCTGGCCCATAGTTAAGTCAATGTAGCAACCTGTTAGCGAAGCTTTTCAAATGTCACCAGAGTAATTTAATGCCTGCAGATTGAGGTGTTGATACATACAGTTGAACCATTGGAGGAATTGGAAAATCCCCAATAGGAAGTTTAGCTGAATCAAATGAACTTGGAGAAACATGCACTAACCCCATTACTTTTGGTAATGCTTCTTGTAGATGACTCCAATGATGCTACCAAAAATTTACACTTGTAAATTCCCGATGATTGAGAATGACTAGGAATAGAATATCTAAGATTTGAAAAAAAGGTGTCGAGGAATGCCCTTGTCGTCCCTCAGATGCTCAAGTTAGCGAAAAAGAAAAATATAAATGTGCGACTATGAATTGAAATAATGTAATGCATACTTGAATAATGTGCAATGACCTTATATTTATAGCGTTGGGCATTGCAATGCCAATAGGATTGGATAACTTGAATATTTTATTTTGTTTAAGAGTCCTAGGAAATGTGAGAGTTTTGGAAGAGTTGGGTATTACAATTTTGAAGATTTATTTTAGTTGGATAGCATGAGACTGTGGTGGAGTGTTTTTTAGATTAAATAATCCATAGGGAGGAAAGAGAGAGAGAGAATCAATAGTGATATGTAATGCTTTATGGGATCTCAAACCCGAGCCACAAACCCAACGTGAGGGATGACCAAAAAAAAATAAAAATAATAAAAATAAAAATAAAAATATTATCATTCAACCAAATATTCATAGCCCCCACCCCTTTCGAGACGGGGGCGAGGTCGGGACGGAGGTCATCATCTCAAAGTGATTACGGATTGGTACGAAATATATGGTCCCCACTTCTTTTAAAGTTAATTTCAAATTTAAGATTTTTATCCAAAAAAAAAAATTATCATCATTTTTAAAGTGAACCTGTGTTGTTATTAACAAATAAATAATAATAATAATATTCATTAACCAGAAAATATAAAAAATAAACAGGAAATAGGAATTATCCTATCCCATCCCAATTCTAACCCGGCCCCACCTGGCCGCTTCAATTGAGTATGGAGACGGAATAAGGTAAGAAAAATGTAAGATGGAATAAGGGACAAGAATGATGGATCGGTTCTCTCATTGCCATCCTTAAACGTGATGAGTAGGTGATGAGCCCGAGGACGGCTCAACTTCTTTATGAGTCATGCCATCCTCGGGCTTGACTAAAATTGCTCATATCAGTAAGAGAATTTCCAATTTACCAAGATCAATTTTCTTCTACATGTGAAATACCGTCCGTCGTCGATGTCCGTACACGACCAGACGACGACGATTTTATCTCAGTTATTATTTGCGGCCAATAGTGCAATGCTTGGCATTGGCTTAGCTTACGTTGCTATTCGCAGCATATTCAAATTCACCGCCTCTACATCAGCTCTCCGCAAAATAGACAAATCGCCTTCTGTCCAACCTTTTGACCTCCGTTCTCTCCTGGCCAACAGAGATAGTAATAGTAACATCTGTAATAGCGAAAGTAAAAATCAATCGAATGGTGATGGTGGAAAACTCATAATTGTTCGCGGCGGCATGGAGGCAAAATCCACGGTGGAGAGGCAAGCGATGATCCTGGGAGGTGATACTAGTAATGTTCTTGTTTATCAGGAGTCGGGAGAGAGCGGCGTTATCTTGCAGCGAACTCAAACTGTATGTTTTTACATTTTTTTTTCGTTACAATTTTGTTAGACGCGCTATAGGTTTACTAATTTCATCGAATGGAAAGATTTTGTTATGGAATTGTAATTTCTTCTGGATTCACCCAACTGTGGATTTTCCAAATTTTGATCAGATTTCTAAAATTTGCCTACTGTAAGTTAAAAGCATGGAAATTTAACTAGTAATTCTAGAAAAAAGAAGTTGAATTTTGAGTCTAAATAAAGGTTTATTTGAATTTAGCGGTGCCAAAAGTTTAAGGAATTGTATTGAACTTGAAGTTAGCAAGCAAGATTAATCCATCAATTTTCCACTCTTTGTGTAGTATCAAGTTTGAATTCTGGAGGCTCTCGCCTATTATAATCCAAAAACATTTATTTTTTTAAATAATCTTGCTACATATCCAGGCTCAAATCAGATGGGACACGTGACGACGCATAATTGGACAATTTGAAAAATTGAAACAAAAACACCCAATTATTTTTTTAACACATCAATCTATCTCTTTACTCCCCTATTTTTTAGCCTGGATAAGTGGCTTTATTCTTTTTTAAATTAACCTTACCCTATGATGCACCAATAAGAACCCGTGTGTCCGATACGGCACGTGTTTAACACGTTGACATGCAAGGTTTAAAAAATGTACCATGAAGTATTCAAAAAGTGTCGGTATTAAAAATGTGTCGAACATGGACATACCACCCTCGTTGAAGTATTCGTACAACACCACCCTTGCCTAATGAAGAAGTGGATGTGCAAGTTTAACTGGATTAAATGTCAGCTTTTAGTCTGTGACGGTGTACTCACCTTTTTCTTCTCTTTTTTTCAGTGAATCTTATTTTGAGAAAAACAGTAAACCTTAAAATGAATATGTTCTTTTATGACCATGAGAGAATTATTGTATGGAAGCATCTCTGCTTATCTTTATTGTTGCTTGTCATATCAACTTAATATAGGACATTGATCTTTTCTTTTTTGTCCTTATGACGCATTTATAATGAATGGAGGGTTTTTTTTGATTGACTGCTGATCTACACTCTATTTGCAAGATCCTGGAAAGGCCAAGAGACATTCACAATAAGAACAGTAATGTGCTATAACCGTGACCATCATCTTAAATTTTAGTGCTACACTTATTAATTTATGTACTTCTATATGCTTCCTTAGAAATGCTGTGAAATTATAGATAATGACAGATTAGCACTTAGGTTGGACGGATGACTGCACTAGACTTTTGGCCACTACCATTTAACAATATAGAAGATGCCTGCTCTTCCATATCAGCAGCTTCATAATGTGATTGACCAATTGACAAAGTTGAGAAGGAAACTTGTTTATGAAATTGAGATTCTGATTACTTCTTTCTGAAATAATGTTCCTCTGCAGATTTCGTCTTAGTTGCTTCGCCCTTGGAAAGTGAACACTGCTTTAATTTGGTGGAGCGACACAGAGATGAGCGACCATGAAAGAAATTCGCCAGAGATGGCTGCTAAATAATATATCTCGACCATCATAAAAGAAATTATCTAAAATAATGAAAGATATCTCCATCTTTTTCTCCCATTCCAAATATGACTCGGGATCACTTTTACCCCTAAATTGTGGAATCGTCATTTTTATATTACCCAAATTGCCATCTACTGCATCACCGGGATTATTTCTACCCCATCGTTCAAGCCTATCACCTCTATTACTCATCCGTCCCATCTCCACTTCGTCATATTTATCTTCATCCAATTCACTGCAAAGATCATAAGCTTCCCATTCCATCCTAGAATTTGATTTGATTACCGTTTCGGCTAGAATTTGATCTTCTCTATCAGACATGCTCTCAATTTTCTGCCTCACCTAAGTTCACTCGAAATCACACAATTGGCTTTTACCCTCTAAGAAATTCATTACTCTGCATTTTACCACTCAATGCTTTCACCAAGTGCTCCAAGAACAACAATGAACTCATCGGATTCAAACTTGTGGATTCAAAAACGAACGTAAGTTAAAGAATGTGATTTCAAGGGATTTTGAACAATGGGAATGGGAATGGGAATGGAATGGAATAGACTCAACAATGGAAGTGTAATAAAATTGAAGTGATTTTGACAACTTTTGAACTTTGTAAGACAAATTGTGGCATGTTGGTAGTAAATCAATTAAACGAAAAAAATAATAATTTTTTTTTTGACGTAGCAGTAACCTATTTTCAGATGAACAGTAACCAGGAATGAACAGTAACATTTTTTTGTTAACAAAACAAAATTATACTACCAACAAAAACATGGATCTAGGAACTAAGAACGACTCAAAAACACAACAGAAGGCCAGGAAAACAAAAACTAACGACTCAAACAAGATAAATAAAGATATAACTTGATTAAATTGGAACCAAAGCTCTAATACCAATTGATGCGAAACCCGTAGCAACGGTGACTACAAAACCCACAACTAGATTGATGCGGAACCCAAGAACATCAATTGATAACCCGGTTTTGGATTTGAACCCGACAAAGTGAAATAAGAAACCCAAAGATAAATAAGATACGATGAACCCCTTGTTTACAAGTTAAAAAACCCACGATCCGATGTTGAAAGCCACAAAGATTTAATTCTTGATAGTTTCGATTAGTTGTTCAAGGAAGAACGATGGAAGAAAGCAAAAGCCTCTCTTGAATTGAATTGAATAGAATAATATGTCAAAAGTCTTACAATGAAAACCAACTTAAAGTATTTATACTAATCCTAAAAAATATAAGAAAAAGGGACTAAACAACGTCCAATAGGGTAAGAAGTTCAGATAGAATAAAGTTCTGGCTAAAATATGGAAAAACGCGTAAACAAATAAAATCCCGAAATTAACTGTCACTCGAGCGACGCCAAGCGAAAAACGAGTGACGCTCTAGCGAAAAGTGAACCAAAATGTTTCTGCTTTTCTCACTCAAGCGATGATCTAGCGATGAGTGAGCGAAATTTCGGTACTTCGTCAACTTCGTTCTGGACTTAAATTAAGTTCAACCACTTGATTCGTCAACTTCGTTCTGAACTTAAATTAAGTTCAAACACTTGATTCGGCTCCAAAGCTCAACATCAAACTTGTTCCCTATTGCTCCAAGACTGATGTTTCTTTAATTGTTGATTGAACCAGCATTCCCATTGCCTGATTGACCTTCTTTGCCTTCGACTGAATCATCGGACCAGCTCCAACTATCAACGGATCTCTGCTCGGATTTGAATTCTCGACCTTCGGATCCTGTATCATATCATGACTTAATGCTATCTCGTGGGGATGGGAGTTGTAGAGCATTAGAGCCACACGGTGCTAGCGTAGTTCGAGAGTGACGAAACTAGTCCAGTGACAACCAGCTATAGTCCAGTAGATTTAGAATGGTATCAATTTTGTCCTGCTGTAATCTAATGCTGAAGAGCCATATTTCCTATTGTTCATATGGAATTTTTCTCTTGCTACTATGCACTTGTAAGTGCACAATAACCTGGTTAGGAGTTGGGTAATCTAACCATTCTACATGAATAGGTGATTCTAGTTCCTCCATTGCACATTCAATAGGTTACCGTACAGTGATGCATCAAATTTAGACCTTCATAGATTTTAAGACCTTCTTGTCTATTCCAGTAAATGAATTTCCATTCATCTGTTCATTTTCGTGTACATGCCTGTTAAAATGCTAGGTTAACCCTTTGCTTATTTTTTTTTCTTTGTATGGTAGTTCATTAAATGTAGCATGATGTTGATTATTTTTCCAGTTAAAAAATGCTTGGTCTGCAGAACTTCATTTCCCATCATTTATCTGGTAACTTTTTCATACTACTTTTATTTGTTAGTGCACAATACTTAATTTTGGATTAATAATCTTTCTATTCTCTACTGGAGTGAATCGAGAGCAATTGGGATGAATTATAACCATACTTTGTTGAAAGGTCAATTGTCAGAATATGATTATCTTTTATAGTAAGCAGGCATAGTTAACTGCAAGAGAGAGCTGAGCTGCATTTAGCTTTGTACTACAAAACATAATTTTATATTCTTTCAAACCATATATAAATATTTATGAAGTAATAATAGTACAATGCTTTAAGATGGGTTTAACTGCTATAAATGTCAGTTGTATGTGTTCATAATGTTAGGTACTGGAATAGATGGAAAGAGTGGAGACAACAGAGGCAAGCACAACAACAAAACAATTTTGCAACTAATGTGTTCCCCTTCAGATTGCAGCTGATGGAGAGACTGGAGACGTTCCTGATGGAGAACTTTCTGTGATTTGCCTGATGAGAAGGTGCAGATCTGCTTTCATTCTTCGTGGACATCAGGTCTGCTGCCAGCGTTGTGACCTATCAGTTGAACGTGAAATATCACGCAAGTGTCCCGTATGTAGGCAGACAATCCAGAATTCTGTAAGAATATATGATTCTTGAGGATGATCAATATACTTCTGAAATAAATAGCTAGAAAAGGACTTGTATGTCTTGTGGAGAAACTTCATGGCAATTCTTTTTCCTTGGGATCACAGTCTAGAGACGATAAGAGAGACTAGCAGAGATTATCGCTTAGGAAAATATTCCAGTCTAATACAATAACATGAATATTACTGTATATAATTCAATTAGTTTGAATGTCACTTTTTATTGTATATATGATTTTCTTGATTTATGAATTTGTTGGTGCAGTTGATCTTTGCATTTTAGATAGCATTAATTATGCAATGCCTCAGAAATAATGTAGCTTTTGTCTGTGTAGATATAAATGTATGGATATAGCTGAGCTTCAATAATGACTTGAATTCTCTAGATTTCAGAATGTCTTATACAGTATAAAACAAAACTAAACATCACACTACATTGTCAAAATCATTCTGAAATAGGGAAAGAAAAGATTGATGCCTCAGCTGCATCAACTGTCACAAGGTTTCCATAACGAACAAAATGATACTGGCTGTCCTTTCCACCAAAGGCAGACACAGTAATCTCTCCCTTCTGTTCTGATTTCCCAATTGCTGTCATACTTCCTCAGCAATGCCCTTGCTCCATCAATGGTCTCCTCTCCAAAGAGTTCCAAAGTGAAGCCAGAATTTCTCATCCTCTCACACCATTTGTCTTTCCTTTCGTTCATCTCCCCCACATTTGTCAATGCCTTTGCTGCCTCTGCTTCCATCATTCTTCTTTCATCACTTTCACGCCCTTTATATGCTACACTAGTGGAGTCCAAAAATTTCCACAAGTATTCCACACGCCTTGAGAATCCTGTTGCAAAATCCCCGCAGTTGTTGCAGCTACAATCTGTGTTATTTTCGCTAAGAACAACTCCTTTGGGCTCCATGCTCCTTAGTAGTCTCAGGAACTCAGTTCTTTCATCTGGAATATTGTGATTTAGGTTGTGGAGTCTAAATTGTGCACAGATGACCAAGACTTCTTCTGTTGATGAGTTAATAACTTGGGAATTCAGATTTTGCAATGGGATGTTTTCGAGTCTGTTGATCTGTAAGTTAATGTTTATGATCTTGGCAAAGCCAAGGAGTTGGGAGTAGAAGTCGTAGTTTGGTGGGCCATTCGCAAATGGAGTACTTCTTGATTGATTGTTGTCCCCAGAAGGAGCGACAACTGTCAGGCGAACTAAGGGAGGTGGACCACCTGATCTTCGAGTTAACTCTTCGAGGAGCGTTGGCCATTGAACACCATGAGAAACTCCGATGTCAACGATGTGAAGATTACTTGAGCAATCCTGTTCTGCAAGAATTTGGAGGATTGAAGTGTTTGCAATGTTGTTGGGAATACGGAACCATGGGTTGATGTCATTGAATTTGATCAGAGAATCTCTGAAGAATTTTGGGTTGCTAGAAGCAAAAGTAGTAGACCCTGCAGGTGCAGAGGAGATGCAAGGGTGGGATAGGTGGTGTTTCAATGCTTGGAGCCCATGAGCAGCTAGTCGGTGGTTAGCATCACCTGTTAGCGAGGACAGGTCCTGTAGAACATACAAAAAGTGTTGGACACGGGAAGGATTTTGGGCTGTGACAGCAGCAGCACAAGGGTTGAGCAATTGTTCTGCCCACCTTCCTTCTTTGTTATTACCGTTGTTAGTATTTACTGCTAACTTGCCCGTTGTCTTTTTGCTTGCAGCTGTTCTTCTAGGGGGCACCCCTTGTCCAGTAATTGCACCCGCTACATCAGCCTCATCGATCCGAGGATTCTGATTCTTTCGGGAGCTTTGTGATATCATGGGACTCAAATCATCAGGTAATTTCCGCTTCTTGGGTAAATCAGGTGGCATTGGTTGATTGGAAACTACAGAGGAGTCCATTGGTTTTGTGTTGATTGTGGTGGTGGCAGTTGTAGCAATAGAGTTATTGAAAGAGGCAGGACTTTGACTGATTGGTTCTTGATCTAGACATTGAGTTTGAACCCACCACGAATCGGCGCTGAAATCTGTGGCATCATATGGATCATCCAAAAATGATGGGAAGTATGATAATGATCCTTCTAGCCATTCTAAGATGTGATCGGCTGCGGGATTTGGCTCTGGTTCGTCAAGTGTCATGGTACTGAAAATTTTTGTGGGAGTTGAAGGAAGAGAGAGATTCAGATGAACACACAGAGTATGGTGTAGACTTCTTGTTGAAGTGATAAAATAATGTATCTGGGAAGAGACATTGGAAGGCATAATCAACGCTTAAATTTGCTGTTATTTTGGCAGTTGTGATGTTTTCATTAAGGTTATTTTAAGGCATTAAGAGTTTTATAAAGCTGTATGTGATTTGTTTGTTTATTAACATATTCCCTTGTACGTCATAGTGGTTGAGAAAAGTATATGAAATTCTCCAGAGTTTGAATTGTCAGAGAGACGGCAAACTCTGTTTTAATTTCCAATAAAATAACAATTGTTTTTGTTTGAAAATTGCCTTGTTTTAGATTATTGGCTGATGAGCTTTGTCTTTTTATTTGGAGCAAATTGACCTGCAAAAAACTTGGTCGTAATCTGACCATCGATTACAAGTCGTCCTTAGCTAGATAATGCATACTAAGAGCAAAAAAAAATTTAAATAAATAAGTTTTTTATAATGAATATATTTCTTTCAGATTCTTAACTAAATGTCATGTTAACTTTGATCTTTCTCTTCCATAATTTATTGTATTCTAATCTACCAAGACAAGTTTCAACCAGTCTCTCTCTTTTTATTTACCTAAAAAGGCGTTTGTCCCTTTTATCCTTCAATCCATTTTTGTTGGCCACGACTTACGATACAAATTGCGATCTGGCTGCCAAATACAAGGGGGGAGAGCTAATACTATATTATTCGGTTGGAGGCATATTGGCTTGGTTTGTGAAAGAACTGGATGGTTTATTAATAAGCCTCTTGCTAGCAAAGAATTCGAAAGAAGTCGTATTGTGGCTCCTTTGACTTATTGATATAGTATAGCCATGAAGACCAAGGAGAGTGTATTTAATTGAAACTTTTAATGAATTTTTGAAATTTAAAAAGTTTATAGATATTCAATATAGACTTTTTGAAATTCTCTAAAAGTATTGGTGTATTCAATTGAGACTTTTAAAAAGTTTTTAAAAGTCATGGTGTATTCGATTAAAACTTTTTAGAAATCTCTATAAGTTTAGAGTACTAACTTTTAAGTAAATAGTACTCAAGTAGAATCTCAAAATTTGTCTGTCATTAATCCCAAGATTTTGGGAGACTTTCACAAAAATAAAATAAAATAAAATAAAAAAAGGAAAATAACGCTCCCTCCTAATTTATATAGGCTACCTTTCTTTATTTTCTTATCCCAATTATATAGTCTTTTTTTTTATTGAGAATATTTTGTTTTGTTCGTTTATTAATATACTCTTATTTAATTTGTATAACTATAACCAATTTTTCCACTTAATCCTAAAATTGTACAAACATAAATATAGGTAGACTATGAAAATTTTTGGTAAAAATTGACACGATCCGTCTCGATCACCCTAATAGATTCGACATGTGTCGTGTGCCGATGGTATATACCAGCAAAGTGCCGGACCCACCACCAAGGCAAACTTGACATGCTTTGATTGTTATAATTTTATAAAAATTTCAACAGAGTTCCCTCTGAAAAATTGACTAAAACCACTTGAAAATAAAATCAAATATCCCAAACATGTACATATAGTTTAAAACAGGGTACACCGACTCCTCAAAATATCAACTATTCAAATACAATACTGGCAATTCGACTTTTGCAATAATTTCTAAACCACAGTACCTAAAATGCATAATATATATACAAAACATAGCAGGCCCAACACATGGAACTTATTTCTGACCAAAAGAGGTGTCTATCCCAAAATATGAACTATTAAACTAAAAAGATGATTCATACAATGCTTGACAATCTATGGCTCAACTCGATAGATCAACTGGCCCAGTAGTGCTCAACTCAGCTACTATCTGATAAGAAAAATAGTGATAAAAATGTGAGCCTATAACTTAGTGAATGGATACTTGTAAAGTATACTTTTCCATTCATAAAATCTTTCTAAAAATCGACATATAGTATAAAATTTCTTTTCATAAACATATAAACTAAGATATTTATTTTTTAAACTGAATAAACTGAATTTTCTAGCTTAGAATCTGATAATACTATCAAAACTAAAATATACTATAATCATAAACATTTTTATTCTATATACTGCATTTCTAAAATCTGATAAGCTATGTAATACTGAAACATCACACCAAAAATGTACCTGGAATAACCATACTCGTGAATCGATTAATCTCGATATAAATAGCAAGGTTATTCAATTCTGAAATTCTGTAATTCTGAAATTCTGGTTGCATGCGCACAGAGCTATAAAATGGTCATACACTATGGAAACACATTCACAATAGTGCAGAGCGAGTAAAATCACTAAAATGGTCATAGGCTGTGGAAACACATTCACACCAGCGCAGAGTGGGTAAAATAACCATATGAAGTCATACACTATGGAAACACATTCATACCAATGCAGACGAGGGTAAAATCACCTGGGTACTTTCTGGTGATTTTTAAAAATAACGTTAAATATGCTGAAACATTTAATACTCATACAACATACTAATAAAATGATTTACTAAATTGAATTTAACTTTTAAAAACAACTGGTTATAAATCGACTTTATTCTGAAAATCGTGTTGTCAAATCGACTGTATGAATTAATAAATTTTCTGAGTTAATATAAATTAAATAAATACTAATTTTTGAAAAATAAGCTTATCCACTCACATAATACAAGCTGAACCTAAGATGGTCGATAGGTTCTTCCAATCTCCTTATCACCACATAGAATACATAACAAGATGACTAATCAACCACTATTAAATTAAGAAACTTTAAGACCTACTTCTATAATACTTAACTAAAATTGGTCGATGCTCGAATGAATTTTCCAAACATTCTTTTGATCAATTGGAACTAATCTCACTTTCTAATCCCTTTTCTAATAACTAATTCATCAACAAAACCTTCTTCCCAAGTTTAAAACTAGTTTTACTCTCCAATCAAGTGAAACTAGTAACCATAATTCCACCCATTTAATATACATTTTGTTCCATAAAATCAACTCCCAAGTGAATAATTCCATTAATGTAATCATTCCCACAAATAATCCATGGTCAATCATCAAATTTAAAAGCTAGGGTTTGCCCCAAAAAAATTGACATCTCCTTACCTCAATGTAGATACAAATTTAAGAATCAATAACTTGAGCTCCAAGTAGTATTCATCTCAAAAATCTGAAAATTTCGAGCCAAAATAAAACCTTAGAATTTTAACATAATTCATACTTTATCACTTGAAACAAATGGAAAAATTCAACCCAAACTTGAAGAAATTAGCCTTACCTCTTTTCTTCTTCTTCCCTTTTCTTCTTTCCTCCTTTCTTTTTTTTTTTCCTTCCCTTTTTCCCTAATTTTTTCTCCCTTTTTCAGTCTCCAGCCTTCTGCCTGTTTTCCTTCAGTGTGTGTGTGTGTATGTTTTTGAGATAAAAATGTTGGTCAAAGGTTGAATATAAAGTCCCACATGTTCAATTGCAAAGAAAGTCCCTTAAATCTAATTACAACATACAAGTAAATCCTCAACTTCCAAAAATATATAAATAAATTCCAAACTTTGAAATGTATCCAATTTAACCTTCATATTTTGTTAATTGCAAAATAAACCCAAATAAAATGATTTGGTCAATCAAGTCCCAATAAAAATGATTTATTTCATACAAGTCCTCATTTGACTTCACTTTGAAAATTTCACTATTGACTTTAACTAGATAAAAATGTGGGTTGTAACAAAAATTGTTTTTCAATCACATTAAATAAGATTTCTTTCAATATCTCTCTTTCCTTTTTTCCTTCAACGAACATTAAAGTTGTGATTAAAAATAATATATATATATATATATATATATATATATATATATTTGATCATTATTTATTTATTAAGTTATTAAATTTTTATTCTTTTTAAAATATTTTTTATTATATGGAGAGGAGAAAGGTAATTGTGAAAATCATCACCTCGTAGGTAAGAATTTCACACTATTACACTATATTCACCAAAATTCAATTTCAAATAAAAGTGTTTTGAACTCTAGAAAAGTCTATGAAAGTTTTGAAATGAAAATCTATAGAAATCCACGATCAACTTTCACTAATTCCATATAAATCTATAAAAAAAATTCACGAAATTCACAAAAGTCGTTGTTGCCAATTTTATTTCCCGCAAGTGTACGGATCGTAACAAGTAATAAAGTGGACCTAAGAGTTCGATTATCACTCCCACGAGAACTACTATTTAACAATTTGTTCAATTATTACTGAATTTAATTTGATCGAAAATAAATAAAGAATTAAATGTTATAATTTTTTATACAACTATTTGAAAATATATTGATGCACACGAACAGTTAGACAACTTGTCTTTTTGGCTCAACATTGAGAACATTATATTAAATTTATGAACGGTGGCAAAATCACAATGCAAGAACCAAACTTCCACTTAAACAATGCAAAGTGTGTGTGTGTGTGTGTGTGTGTGTGTGTGTGAAGGATCAAGTATAATGCCGTACATTCACAAGTTGATTCATGTCCCCGCCCTCAATAGTCAAGTATTTCGTTTCTTCGCTCGTAAGATTCATAAATCCCCAAACTTGTTTTCTTTTATTCTCTCACCATGTGTAATTCTAAAGTTTAGTTTCACTTATGATATCCTCACACCACTCTAATTTGGTTTAGTTCAATCGACAACGTCAACAATTTATTCATGTGATGATTCTGTCAATTTATGAGCGTTTCAACAATCTAGTTTATACTAAGTGATTCAAACCCACAGTTATGTAACGCCCCGAAAATTTTAAAATATAAATGTATTTATTTTATATGTTATATTTTTATTTTGTAAAAAAAAATTGGACTAAAATGAATTAGATTTTAAATGCATATTTTATTTGTGTCAAATGATTAAATTTTGATAGAACGAGATTTTATATATCAATATTGGGCTCGTTGGATAACTCGTAATTAATTATGTATGTTAGGCTCGAGAAAAAGTCGATTCGGATAAGTTAGACTAAAAATAATAAAGTTTATGGTCCTTGTCAATTATTGGTAATTGTTTATAATTTTAGTTGTGAATTTATAATGGATACCAACGTGTAGACCTATATAACATTTTGGACACTTCCTTGATATAATACACTGCATCCATTATTTGGTGCCACCAAAAGAGTAAATTGTCCTTTACTTGAATTAATTAAGTTGGCCTTTCCTTTCCTTGTATTTCATTAGTTGATGGACACGTTACATTTTAAATTGAAACAATGTGTAACTTAGGCAGTTATATAGTAAATGTGTGTCCATATACGGTGATAGAAGAATTATGAATGATTCATAGGTATATCTCACGCGGATAATTATGACATACCTTAAATAAGAACATCAAATTGGGAATAATAGATGAAAGATTTTTCTTTTAGGTTTTAAATGCATATTTTATTAAATATCGACAGAGTGAGTATGAGTATATCTATATTGGGCTCATTTCATAGCTCGCATTCAATAACATATTTTCGACTCAAGAAAATTTAAGTTCTTCTAAGTTAAACCTAAGTTTTTCCAATTCAAAGAAACGTAGGTAATAAGTATTATTTTTACTATTTAATAATATTTCTTTTAAGATAACAAGGAAAGAAAGTAATATTTTATCATATAATTAACGTTTATCTTTATTATTAGAAAAAGAGATTCAATTGTCTTAATTGTTATTTACCTTTTATACACCAGCAATTTAATTTTTTTTTCTTGTGCGTGATTTGAGCATTTTACAAAACGAGAGAGAGAGAGATATTTCTAGTTGACTTGATTGATTGATGGATAGAGGAAAATGAACTTCACTTATTGTAAGAAGACTTTTACCTTGATTTTGGAATATAATATTAACTTAACATTTAGGACTTTTGATGTTCCCAAGATAACACACGTTTCTTTTGGTCTAGCTTTGAATAATTTATTATATATACTTTTGTACAAATCTCTTGGCGTGATTCATGGCAGTCATGACCTTTGTACTATCAGTGTGTCAACTGTCTTTCAATTAAAATTGAAATAATTGCCTTAATTTCATGCACGTGAATGTGTGAAAAGAGCATAAGTAAAATTAGCTATTTATGGGAAAACGCGTAGAATACAATATAAATGTTATGAATTATTTTGTGTAGAAAAAAAAGATAGTCACAGATAGAGAGGAAAACAAATTGGGGACGTGAATTTCTTATTTTCAACAATCAAGGTAGGATACTTTTATGTGCAAGTGATATGTCCTTTCAATATTATGATTTTTATGCGTGATTTATTTCATGAAATGCTAATTGACCTGCAGGTCCCAATGAAATGAAATGAAATGAAATGTGAGAACGCCTTCAGGCCTTCTCAAATGTGCTAGAGCTTTCGACTGATCACCGATTGTTCTTGATGAAATGATGGTATGAAATGTTATGAATTTACGTTTTAAAAGTTATCGTAATGTTTGGACACACGTATCCTACTGAGTATAAATTACTCACTCCTTCAACTTCAACATTTCAGGTCAGTGCGGTCAACGAGGATGGTGGTTGGGCGGTGCGCGGGCTGCCAAGTAAAATAAAATTTATGTTTTAGAAAATTCTTTAATAATAAAATTTTTAGAGTATATATATATTTTTTTATGTTCTAAACTTTGTGACATTGTTTCAATATTTGAGTATTCAATAAATTAAGAGTTTTAAATCTTTGAATTAAATATTTCCGCTTCAAGTACATGTTGTGAAATGATATTGGTGACACCCCAAAATCTAAGTCAATAAAATTTGGGGCATTACAAGTTATCTAGGCCTCGAAAATAAATATTTTTTGCACACTTTTATAATTTTCTCTATGTTTTTCTTCAATTTTGACCTCACCCTTTTTTCTCTTCTTGACCCCTGTGACGAGTGTTAGGTCAATAACCCTTCGGTTTTTTAATACCAAAGGGCACTAGGTTTCAAAAGACCTCTACGGACTTAATAACTCGAGTAAAAAAGGTGCAAGTTGAATAAGTGCAATACTTATTTTCTATAAAATGGAAGCAAATTTTACAGGCGTTAGACTCCTAGCATTCGGTAATCACTTACCTTATTCCAAAAAGTCAAAGACACTCCACACAATCTTTTTCACATTCACAGAATCACCTCAATCTTAAATTATTTCTTTTGCCGATTAGAACGCCCAAAATTATAATGTATACGGTTAAAGGGCGTTGAGATTAATGGGTTAAGGGATGCACCTAACTCATCTCTTTAGCCTATGTGTATGAACCCTCATGTTCTTGTATGATGCTAAACTTGATACTTGTGCTTAAATATTCTACCGCCTCATATAGATAAGCAGAAAATTCAATTAAAGCATATGATTCATCCACAATCCATAAACTAATACATGCTCTCAAATATATTCATCATAACCGACAAAATTATCTAACTCACAAAGCATGCAATTTTTTTTAACACAGTGTACACTATATCATATAATGTTATGCAAGCACACAAACTCTACTACTAAACTCAAGATAGAAGCAATTAACTTTGATGATTCACTCCCAAACTTAAAACGTACATTGTCCCCAATGTAATAAATAAAAAAAAAAAAAAAAAAAAAAAAAAAAAAAAAAAAAAAAAAAAAAAAAAAAGATAAAATAAAATAAAAATAAAAAATACAGAGGAGGGAGTAGGAATTCCCTAAAATTATCATCGCCATCGCTTTGGTGAGATAGATCATAGTTGGCTGGATAATCACATTGTTGGCACACACTTGAGAATCTTCCTATAAACAACACAACGAAAATGTTATGACGATAAATTAAACAATTCTGAAACTAAAAACTAAGTAGTGATAATAATGAAAATGATAGAACTTGGTTTGCCTCCCAAGAAACACTTCTTTAAAGTCATTAGCTAAACTTTTGCACAAGTGCTTCATGGCACTTTAAATATGATTTTAGAAGCTCTACTTAGCTTGCTTAATTTGACTTTGTTCCATATTTCACATGTACTCCACGATCGTACTTTGCCCTTTTGAATACGGTACGACTTGCCAAAGTTGTCTAATTCGAACTCAACTAATAATACTTCAATCTTCTCGTCGACTTTAATCACA